ACGCTCCTCTCGTTTACCTTCCACTATATATATGTATACTGCAGCGCTGGATAAGTAGACAGTTGTTGGTCTGGAAAGGAGAAAAGCCGGTGGATGAGAAAAATCGGCATCAGGGGAAACCGGTACCGGCTTGACGACGCGATGAGAGCCTGCCTCCTCGTCTATACACACGTATATAAATATGTACATGTGTATATAATAACATACACGCGCGACAAGCGTGAATAAGGTACATAAACGTGTATACGTGTATGGATGTACTGCAAGCATAAGACCACTTCACGAGTCAATGGGACGGGGGAAGCTGCTCCGGTGGAGAGGATGAGATCTCGAAGATGTATATCGCGTCACGTCGCCTTGCGTGTATGTTATTTGCACACGATCGAGAGAGCGTTGCTTGCGAGTTTTCATAAGAAATCTGATTATTTTTTTGTCCCGAGAGAGCTACACGTGTATTATTATTACTATTATTTTTGTTTCAATAATCAACGGATTAAAAAAAAAAAAAAAGGAGAACTGATTTTATTTAATTTTTTTTCAAACTAAGTATGTAATGTTCAAAAAGAGCGTCAAGCGCATAAAACCTTATGATGAATACTATATATGGAAAGATGCAAAAACTGGATCAAGTGGTGAGCGTGAGCCGCCCAACAATTGGCTCTCAGCTTTTGGGAAATCCGCCTGGGAGTGGAACGAGCAGCGCAAACAGTACTATTATCACGCCTTTGCTCAAGGTATGTTACAAGTTTTTCATTACCTACCCCGAAACTTTAGTATAGTTTACGTAGTGATCGTGTGGTGTATGGATAAAAACATATACTTTGTGTTTAAAAAACCAGTGGTTTTTTTGTAGGCCAGCCAGATTTGAACTACCGAAACCCTACGCTCAGAAAGGAGATGGAGGACGTGATAAGCTTTTGGATGAAGCGCGGTGTCGATGGTTTCAGAGTCGATGCGGTTAACTTTTTGTTTGAGGTAGAAAATTTAATGGACGAGCCAAAGTCTGGTAATACGGAGGTACCTGACGACGACCCGGATTCCTTGAATCATATTTACACGAGAGACTTGGCCGAGGTTTACGACGTAGTAAAATCTTGGCAGAAGCTGATCGACGAATACGTGGCGAATTTCCAAACTGACGGAAAATTCATGATCATAGAGGCATACACGAATATTTCGAATTCAATGAAGTTCTACGAGGTTGGCACCAACCCCTTCAACTTCATGTTCATCTCCGACCTGAACAACAATTCCAAGGCCATCGACTTCAAGAGGAAGATCGACGGGTGGTTGAACGTTGTACCCGAGGGCAAAGTGTCAAATTGGGTCGTGGGCAACCACGACAACCACAGAGTAGCCACGAGGTACGGCGAAAAGCGCGAGGACCAACTGACCCTCCTCAGTGCCATTTTGCCCGGCATCACCGTAGTCTACAACGGCGACGAGATCGGTATGGTGGACCGGCCATTCACGTACGCGGAGACGGTCGATCCTGCCGGCTGCAATGCCGGCCCAGATAGGTACCACCTAAAGTCCCGGGACCCCGAGAGGACACCCTACCAGTGGGACGCTACGACGAGCGCTGGGTTTTCGACGTCTACCAAGACTTGGTTGCCGGTCCACGACAACTACAAGACTCTAAACTTGGCGGCGCAGAAGAAGGACGCAGTGTCGCACTACAAGTTGTTCCAGGCGACGACGAAGCTCAAGAAGACGCCAGTCATTCAGAAGGGCAGGACCGAAGTGCTACTGGCTGGAGAGAATGTCCTGGCTGTGGTCAGGCGGTTGGCTGGTCAGAGGACTGTTGCTCTACTGATCAATTTTAGTAACGCTGACGTAACAATCGATGCTCAGGCTTGGGCCAACGTTGCGGAAGACGCTGAGGTTTATGTTGCGAGTACTAAGTCGGGAATAAATGCCGGAAGTAAGGTCAAAACAAACAGTTTGACACTACCGGGAGCAGCTTCCGTCGTTTTGTATTGATATGTCAATTTGTCGAATTTAATGTCCATTTACGATAAAAGTTTTACTTATGACATCACATAAATAAGACTCTCATCGTAGTGTCAATTAAATTTTATTCATTGAGATAAAAAAAAAAGAAAAAAAATGTATACGACTCATTTGAATCTTCATTCACTTTTCATTTACATTAATGTGTGATATCGCGGGATCATTCTGCGCTATATAATTTTTTAGCACTAGATAATTCACTCGATAACAATTTCAATGAAATCCTCGTGCGATATGCCTTTATCAGATCTATTTAGCCTTGATGAGACTCCCAAAGCTTCCTCTATTTTTCTCCTTCGCCGCAATAAAAATAGCACATCAACCTAACTTTTATAGTTTTAAAAATATGCACTTCAATAACTGTTTGTGTTAAACATCTTTTTCCTCACAAAAAAAAAAAAAATAAAATAAAAGAAAATACCCAGAGAAACTCGATGATACAATACACACATGCTCTTATCGGCTCTCATACATCAACGTTACCGAGCCCGTGCAAGTATGTATTATATATACAAATGCAACGCAAATTCGCATAAACTTTCATGTGCACAGCTATATGATATACAAGTGTATATGTGTGTGTGTACTCGCTCTATCCTGAGCCTGAACTTAACCGTTGCAAGTTAACGGTACCGTGCGTGCATTTTCGCGGCGTGCAATGCTTTGACGCGCTCTACCTACCTAATTCCCCTTCGCACCTATCTAGTTGCGTTGTTCACGTGATGGTACTTTTTTTCTTCCTTTTCTTTGTTTTCTTATTCATCTATACAGTGTGCAATGTAAATTAACATAGAAAACGACCGTATGGTATATGGTGATCTCTTAGGCATGCCTTGATGCATAGAGCTTTTGGATACACCTTCGTAAGTTTTGAAAAAGTTTTTTGTGGGTGGGTTTATTATTTTTTTGGACACTATAATACCTTTTCATAACAAGTAAATAATTGAATTGTCAAATGAAAGTAAAAGTAATTTCCAAAAATTGTCCAACTCGAGGATCAAATTGAACGTTGGTATGATGATAAAAAGAAAATATATTGGGGTATATACATCAGCCATGAAGCGTCAGTGAGGGCAGGCAGGACGCAAAATACGAGCCGCGGTAGCTGCCAAGCGAGTAAGTAAAGTAAGTATATATATATTGGATTACATCGTCGTAACTCGCTCTTATTGCATAATCTTCATCAAAACGTCAGATCTTAAATTTCTTGAAATCAAAACAAAGATATTTTCCAATCGAATCGACGTATGGAATTTTTGTCCACGACTTGGATGGCGTCTACATCTTCACTCTCTACAGTTTAGATCCAGCTCTAAAACTTGACGTCGCATCGCAATGCATGCAAGAACGGTTTAAGGTGCCACGCCAATTGTTAGAACTGAAGCTGAGCCGGAGAGGAAAGCGCCACCATTCCATGGAGGTCTCGNAAAAAAAAAAAAAAAAAAAAAAAAAAAAAAAAAAAAGAATAGAATTTCGTGCAAACGTATGTTCCCACGGATAAAGATGTCTGTTGGATCTCTCTCTCTCTCTTTTATATTTTTTCTTCCTCTGTATAATTTTTTTTTGAAAAAAAAAAAAAAAAAAAAAAAAAAAAGGCCAAACGAACGATTTATCGCTCGGATTTTTTGCGGAGTAGAAAAAGGCCGAAAGAATTCGCAATGGCCCGAGCCTCCCCAGACTCCCCAGACAGAATAATGCCCCAGACGCCATTAATGCCACGGGAAAGCGTAAAATGGTGGCGGGCACGGGGGAAAATGCGCACTCTCGCACAAGTGACGGAGAACGCGATCTCGCGGGGCCCTTTCTTCGCTTGTCCATTGATCCAAAGTGCGAGGAGCTCGTTTATCGCGCGCAAGTATACCTATACAGAAGCTGCAGGGTGTTATACGCATGTACATACATACATACATACATAAAGAAAGGACGAGGGGAGAAAATATACATGTGCGAACGCGTGTCGCCCGAGAGAGGACAAAAAGGGGTGGCGGGTACGTCCAAAGGGGACGGGGGGATATTCTTTAATGTTTGCGCGTATATATGTACACACGTGCTGAGGTATATTGTATACGCACAAGTGCGTGTAAAAGCTATGTAGGTATAGGTGCGCTTTACGCACACGTATACATACGCGAGCGTGTAAGTATGATACATCCATGTAGTGCAGGAAGGGAGCGCGGTAGAGATATTGCGAAAGGATACACATATAAGCGCGCGCGTGTGTCCGGAGGAGAGAAACTGCTCGATATTCGCGAACGCCTACGCACGCGCACCTATTTTATACCCCTGACTCCTTTCAGCCGGATATATATATATGTCTTTTGAGATGAAATAAAAAAAAAAAAAAAAAAAGCGAACGAGGGATCGGTACAGCTTTTGCGCTTTTCGCGCGAGATTCAAAGATTTCAGGCTCATCATGGGGTCTTCTTTTTCCCTATATTCAGTTGGAAGGGAAGGGGAGGGCGTTTTTGATCGGTATTATACATATACAGACTTTTCAATGTTACTATTTTCAACCTTTACTTTTCATATACAATATCAGCTATACTTGTACGTTACCTAACTATATGTGTGTTACACGCGTGAATCAATGCGGAAACTCATCGACGTACCGACAAAAGTCATAAACATATATAATATATATAATTGGAACCACCTAAAGTCCCGGGACCCCGAGAGGACACCCTACCAGTGGGACGCTACGACGAGCGCTGGGTTTTCGACGTCTACCAAGACTTGGTTGCCGGTCCACGACAACTACAAGACTCTAAACTTGGCGGCGCAGAAGAAGGACGCAGTGTCGCACTACAAGTTGTTCCAGGCGACGACGAAGCTCAAGAAGACGCCAGTCATTCAGAAGGGCAGGACCGAAGTGCTACTGGCTGGAGAGAATGTCCTGGCTGTGGTCAGGCGGTTGAGCGGACAAGGGACCGTCACGCTTTTGATTAATTTCAGCGACAAGCCCGTGAAGGTTGACGCGAAAGGTTGGCTCAACATCCCGATGAAGGCGCAGATTTACGCGGCTAGCGTCAAGTCAGGACTGAAAGCCGGGGCTCAAGTCAAGGTGGACGACGTGACCCTTCCTGGAGCTGCCTNTATATATATATATATGCACCTCTCTATCCCGTATGTAATTTCCACGCCACTAGCAAATAAAAATGCATTCGCAATATCTCTCGATGCATTTAAGTGTACGAATGCCCAAGCAGATAAGAAAGCACGGATGCCTTGTCTCACGCGAGCCTAAACTATCGGGTATAAGTATACATATACACATAGGTACAAAAAATACGTACACCTATTTTAATTGAAGAAAAAGAGCATGCCAATGTCGTTGGCTTTCTCACTAGGTATCTCACGGTTTCGCGTGCAGGCCGTATGAAAATTATGAAAATCCACCTACCCGCGTTATTTGTGCGCACTTCCTCATGTAGGCGGTAATTCACGAGATGTATAAGGTATGTAGAGCCGATTCGTACTTATATACCTTGAAGAAAAGTGTATTCTTCGTGTTAAAATTTGCAAGGGATGCCGGGACGTTATTTAGCAAGGAAAGCCATTCGGAGATGCCAAATGGGAGCTTCGCCCGCGTTTTCTCTTCAACATTTCTCGCACTTGCCCGTTACATATACCTAGTATATTATATTATATTATACGGTGGGTACAACACATATATATGTATATATATCATGTACGTTATTAACATGCAACCCGTAAAACTAAGTGATACACTTTCGTATACATACGAGTATAAGGTATTATTACCTACCTATTGTTTATCGCAATATGGAGACACGTGAACACTCCCACGCGCTACTCTCGCGCGTGCCATTTTTCATCACGCGCGCATAGAGAGCGAAATCACCGGCCCACGACTTTTCCCATTCAAATATATGTATAATGTGTGTGTGTGTGTCCGTGCATACACGTGCAAGCTCGGCGAGAGCTGGCTTATTGTTTGATTGATCGATGCTTTCTCCTTTATTGGCGCCGTAAATGAGCCGATCCGTAAGAATCGTATACAATGGGCTGCACTTTTCACGTAAAAGCGCACGACACCGTGTTAAGGTAGCGTTACTTTAATGTTGCGCAATATCGGAAGGCGGCTGTTGTACCTATATAATAATAATAATATAACGTATTATCGATGAGCGTATAAATATATGGGTGGATTGCGCCACATGGTTTCATCGTGGGCAAATTGAACAACTGCGTGTGCGCTCGAGTTTATGGAAAAAACGACGCGGTGGTGTGTACGACCAACCCGTAAAGCTCTTTTTACGTTTCACCTTCGAGTTGGAGTTGAAAATTTATGCAAGTACATAATTATTATGAGCACTTTCTCACGCGTGGTTTAAGATAATAAAGATTTACATCCATACACACGTGGACCACTTGAATCGGTATCAAATCGATGTTCGAGTAGTATATATGTGTATATATATGTAAAGGCCAATGATTTATATCATTATACACAACAATGTAAATTGCCAGTTTAATTACGGGGATTTTTGAAAAAAAAATGCCCCGAAAAACGAATGCAACAAAAAAACTCTCCAGACATGGTTGGCTCTGTCGTGCCGGTCACCGGGGGAATAAAAAATGAGCAAACGAGACACGAGGGGAACATTGAACCCTTCGTATACATACGCGTGTACTTGAGTAAACGGCAAAAGAAAAGAAAAAGTGAGGGAAAACGTTGTCATTCAGAAAAGTTAATCGGAAAAGCCGATCGTCACGTACACAAACGCACCACCGCGCACCACGTAATATCCCCCGCATATACCTATGTAGGTGGAAACGATCGGCTTGAAATCCACGAGGTGATTTCGATTCAACGATGAGGAGAAACGTGACTGTGAAAAGTTATGTATATATATGTACACACGTGCGTGTAATACTACATATATTGTATATTTAAGGGAGAGCGAGGAGGGTAAGGAAAAAAGAGAGATGTTATACCTACACGCTCACGGCGAACTTTTGAATTCCGTTCGTTTATCCTTTGCCTGCAGCTGCTGATGCACGTGAGAAAAATCTACAAGTGTGTATACCTATACACGATACGAAGCCCGTGCCACACGGTATATATATATATACCAGCATATACAAATAGTCGCGCGCGTGTTATTGCCCTCAAGCCTCATTGGGAATCTGATCGTCTCTCGACTTTTGCTTGTACAACCTGTACGAAAATATACTGTTGACTCGAGAAGATAACGCGGAAATAAGTAATCGACCATCGCTGCCGTCGGTTTTTCATCATGAAAACCTGAAATCAACAGTTGCTGGGTTGTTACCCCTGGCTGCGTGTATCCATCAAATAGTAAAATACAACGCCGAGATTGATGGATCAACATAATAAAAGCGATGCAGCTGCTGTTTTCAGTGGTACCTATAAATTTCATTCCGTGCGTGATGGCGTCGACAGTTATTTATGATGTATATAAGTACTTGTGCATCGAGAGAGATGGAACCGATAAAAAAAATCGCGTATTTCTAAGTTTGTCCCTTCGCTTCGAAATACGTGGAATTTTATCGGTACTTGCAACAATGATAGCTTAATAAATCGGATACTATAGTGTTATTATCGTGAGTTTTAACTGATTTTTTAGTATTTCACTTGGCATATGTTGGTGGTATTTTCTGCACTCAGCGTCGACACGAAATATTTACAAGGCCACTGCGAAACGTTTAAACAATTATAAAATATACATAATAGTACACATGTATCGCCGAATCAATGAAAAAAAGGAAGAAAAAAAAAGGTCTGTTACATACGTAAGATCCCATACGTTAAGTGTACCTATGCACTTGATACCGTATCGAAAGTAAAGGGGAGCATCGCCACAGTAAAGTGCCATCGGCACGGCAGATAATAGCTCTCAATCCAACTTGCAGGACCCATTGTGTATGTACACACAGCATCATTCAAGCACGACGCTTTTGTTTCTTCTTCTTCGACTCGCGAATCAAACGAATGGTCGATAAACGATGAAGAAACCAAACAAAAAAAAAAAAAAAAAAAGAATAGAATTTCGTGCAAACGTATGTTCCCACGGATAAAGATGTCTGTTGGATCTCTCTCTCTCTCTTTTATATTTTTTCTTCCTCTGCACGCGACTTTCACCCACGCCTTTACTCTCTTGTTATTGTCAGAGAGATATGCCCTCTACAAGTTTCTCCTTCTCCTCTCGATTGCCATTAACTTAGTACCTATATGTACAATTATATATCTTGTGACCGATGAAAAACAAAAATAATAAATACCGAAAACCGTACGTGACTCCAAAATGTACAAGTAATGCAAAAAAACAAACAAGCAGACTACTCCAAGCAAACGTATATGTGTGTGCTCACCTATGCAATATTTTTGGAGCCTATGGAGGCAACAGTAAGAGCAGATAGCAGCAGTCGGGTTTATTCCCCTCTATTTGGACGCGACGCTGATATCAGCTGCCGGTTCGTCGCGGCCCTTCGTACAGGAGCCCTGCACACGAGCTCGCAAAAGTAATATCTCATAATAGCAGCGACAACGATAACAACAGCGCAATGCCAATTTTGATTGATTGATCACAAAAACTTTGGCCTCACTCGACAGGGGTCAGAACGATAATGTACACCCATTGGTATGCTGATATAATTTGTATTGTAGGTACGTACGGAGGACTGAGAGCGCTCGACAACATCGCGCGGCGAGCGCAGTATTACTGATCTGCCAGCGTATACTGTACCATACCATAACATTATATACACCATAGGGCTATGGTGTGTGGTGGTGGTGCGCCTTCCTTACCAGGGCCTTGTACACGTGCATGCCCACATCGCGTTATGGTATGTGTTCGTATGCGCGTGTATATGTGTCCAACTCCAATCCAGTCCCAACACTCCTAACGTCGTCATCGTCGTCGTGTAGGTCGTCGCCGCTGCCGGCCGCCGGCGTCTCGTCTCTTTCCGTCCATACTTTCCTACAACCACAACCACCAGTACCCAGCACCATCACCATTGCATTTATTCTCTCTCTCCACAGCCTCTGTAGATGTAGACATGGTATGTGTATACCCACTGCTTTTTCCCTCGTAGCTGCCGCTATACGCCCGCTAGAGCCTACGTTTGCTCCCCTTCTTCTTCTTCTTCTTCTTCTTCTTCTTCTTCTTGTTCTACACTCTCTTATACTCCTATATAATATCTTTGCAACTCTGCTGCTGTGTCGCCTTCTGCTCTCGCTTTTATGTTGATTATTTCCTTCTCTTTGCTCAATTTTCACTTCTGATGCTGTTGCTGGGCTGGTAAGATTTTTCTCGCTCCATCATCAGCCACCCCTTTTTTCCTCCTGGATGTGTCCCCTACACCTCTCTGAAATGATAGATAAATGCTTGTCCATACGCCACACTATAGGGTATGCTGTTATTTTGCGGACGGGCCAACTCTTTCTCTCTGCAGCTTATCCTTACTCATGGCAGGATCGACTCTGCTAATGGACAGCCGTATCCATACTTTCTGTGCGGCACCATCGTAGTTACTCCATGTGTCATTTTTCTCATGTATTGTACGGAAATCTGCTGGTTGTATCATACTCATGGCAGACATGTGTAAAAGTTCATACATAAGTAAACCGTAACACGTTTGACTGTTTATACTTACTTTAATGTCCAGTACGTGCGTACGCTCCTCTCGTTTACCTTCCACACCCTTTCGTTTGCAGCATCGCACTGTTATAAAAGTACACGTCAGGTGCCGATCTCTGACGACTCTTGTTTGTCTTTTGCCGCCTCGTGAACACGCATACTTATGTACGTGGGTAACATCGGAATATCTTACGGCAGGTTCTCTCCTCGATCCTTTCCTCATCTCAAACTTTCCGACACCAGCTCCGCTTGAAATTGACTCGTATGAATACAATGATCGGTAGGATGTCGGCGACAACTATATAAAAACAACAATGGTGAAATCCCTGCGGTGGTACAAGGAAAAACATAACAATTACAAAAATCAAAACAACATTACCGATTGCTCGACGATTCCTTACCGATCATAAATCGGCACCTTTCCGTTACCCCGTCGATTTTTGAGATCGCTACGGCCTTATCATCGTTGCATGAACACCTATACCAAAACACCATACACATTATGCGCGCAAGGTAAACAACAACAAAAATTGCTCGCACCCTCTGATTACAAGTCGGAGTGCGTGGCTCGCGGTCGCGACCCCGCGTGTTTTATATCCCTTTATTTCTTACTTTTTAATACCACTACTGTCACCACCCTCCCCCCCCCCCACGATCCCTGTGAATATAATTTCTTTTTACGGGTTTGCTCGAACAGAGAAAACCTCGGCTATCTCGCGATCCTTTCATCTTCTTCATCTTTTGCGCTTTTGCACGCATAAGTACACGCAACATAGGTATTCAGATAGGTGACTGTGGGTCAGCGCTCCATCTCTCGTTCGTATACTCTTTATCATCGGAAAGTACCAAACTATAAGTATGCCCACGTGTTTTCCCCTCAGTTAACATAGATTTACCGTTTCAAAGCGATTTCTTCGTGACTCGCGGTAAATGGGTCTGCAACAGTCATTGCGACGGTATGATTAACGATTTCTGTGAAAAAAAAAGAGGATAAACGGTATGTAAGGGCCAAAAATTTCGATCTCAAGTATGGCCCAAAGATCGATGCCGTTGGTCACTTTGAAGGGGCTGTACGTACAGGTAAGTATACGGGATCTTGTCTCTCGTTGGCGCGAGCGACTGACATTTGAGCGGGTCACGTTCCTCGAAAGACCGCAAGAAACTCAAGCCCATCCTCGACTTGGCACCGCGCGCGGGTATATACCCATGCACGTGAATTCTTATCTCTTTTTCCATCTCTCTTTCGTACTTTTTTTTGTCCCCCCCCCCCTCCCACTTCGCTGCTCGGCCCTTCCAGCTCTCCTCTTTATCCTCCTCGTCGGCCTCTTGCCCGATAATTAGTATATACCTTCTGCTGAACAAATTTATCTTTGTTTTCAGAAAAGAATGAACAAACTCCCTTGGGAGTAGGCCATATCGGTGGCCCGGGTAAGAATAAAAAAAAGGCACGAGGAAACAAGGGTTAACGATACAAAAACCAATTGACAGTTTGATTTGGACGCGTGACTTTTCACCGGAACTTTATCATTACATCCGTGTAATTTTGTTTTCTTGTATACAATGCACCTACATTTTACACGAACAGATTACAGACATGTGTGTGTGTGTGTGTGCATCTCACCGCACAAATGGTGTCGCGCGTCTCCTGCGTCATTACGCGGCGCTCCCTTGTCGCTCTTTTTCCTTCTTTCTCGGAGCCCTCGCTCGCTCGTAAAAGACGAAGCCTTGAAAAATCTCCCTCCGTTCAGCAGCAACGGCAGCTTCTTTTCTTGCGTAAAAAAGAAAAAAAGCTCAGCGCGCGCTCGAGTGGTGCGCGCTGCCGAGCGCTCTTTTGAAAGAAAACGGCTACTTCCGACTCACCTCGCTTGGCTGTGCGATTGAAGATACAGGACTGCCTTTTGTTGTACGGATTGCGTACGTTTTGTCTGGCTTTTTACCCTCCGTTCGTCCATCTGACTTTAAAGAAAATGAGTAAATGTACTCGCGGGAGGAGTGAATGGGATGTACTTCGGTTTTAAGGGATCGTTCCAATTATGTGCATTAAAACGCAATGATGCAAGGGCGTGAATTTTATAAAACTTTTTTTTCTCTTTTATTTTATGTATATGTACAATTTGCCGCAAGTACTTACGAATGGGAAATGCGAGCGAGTATCTAGATTTTTCCGGTGAACTTGTGATATTTCTTGTAGTTGTCGTAAATCGATTTGAAAACTTGTTGCGTCGATACGGGTAGTGTTCGCGACAGAAAACTTATCGCGTATTGATCGCAGTTGCTCAGGAGATGGCAGATCGACGAATCTAGCGAGGCCTACGCGATCGAAACAACAAAATCGATTAATTTTTATTGCAAACTGTAATAAAATGCGAATAAACAGACGTTTATACCTTCAAGTAAGTCGGCAAAACTCCAAAGCGCAATGATACATCGATGAGATCAGCGATCAGATACGAACTTATTCTTGTTACGTGTTTTTTTAATTTTGCAAAAAATGTGCAAAACCTGAAAAATTTGAATTTTTGTTACCGTGACTGATTAAATAAAAAATATGTTATCGTCATTGGATGTTGTGCTTACTTTTCGATATCTACTGCCAAAATCCTGAAGGTCTGCTCATCGGAAAAATTTATTTCTTTTCCCACCTGCAATGTTACCTGAACTACTGTGCAAAACAAAGTTGTAAGGGCAAACAATCTGTCCAAGGAAAATTCTGATTTTGATCTCAAGAAATCCAAACAGAGTCCCAGAGCTTCCTGACAAGTATTCAATTTATCTTTACTCGATTTATCCAAACATTGGATCGACATAACGAAAATGAAGTCAATTATATCGTCCGAAAAACGTATCATTATTTTCGACCGCGCAATGGCTCGGCAAATTTTCAATAAATACGTGGGTGATGCTTCATTCAAGTCTAAACTGAGTAATTCATTGAAATAAGTATTGACGGCTGATTTCAGTGATTTTGAGCGCAACACTTTCACTTCGGCCTTTGAAAGATTATCCCATATCATAGTCACTTTTTCCAGAGTTTCGACATCCCCGCTAATTAATAGGTTTTTCTGTAGGTAGGAAACAATATTTACTCAAAAAAAGAATTGACATTAAGTTTTGATGCGACGTACCGTTTGACTGCCAAGAGACTTTGAGAAATAGTCGAATTCTTTGTCTTTTAGAGTTCCCAGGAAGTCAAAAAAAATTTTTTCGTTGGGACTTTTTATAAAAGCAACGCACAACTTTTTCACTTCGTCTTCATCAATAACAAAATCCTCTCTGTGTGATAACACAATTAAAGACAGTTGCAATATTTCTTGAGCTAACTTATCGTTGCATAGATTATCTATTTTCTGTAAAAATTAAAATGTTAATAAAACATTGAAAAAATATTTGGTATGCAACCAATTTTTATTTTTTTATTTTTACCTTAACAACATTTTTAATAACTGATTGCACGAGTTTTTTCAGATTATCTTTGAGCTTTTTCTTCTCTAAAAGTAAAACTTTCAAAGCAATCCTAAGCCCAGCAATTTCATCTGCATCATCAACATTTTCATCAAGTTCTTTTGTAATTTTACTGCTTAACTTCAAGAACAAGTCGTGCAAGGCACTTTTGTGTTCATCTGAGGAAGCTTCACCTTTTGCACTGTCAATGCAAACTATAAGCATAGAACTCATTTTTTTAGTACATTCTTTTGTCTTGACGAATTCTTTCCAAAAGTTTAATACTGACAAGCTACTTATCGATAGTTTGACAATTTTTAAGAGAACTAATTCATTGTCTTTAAAATGATGAATGAGAACTGCCGGTTGTGCTACGCAATCTAATATGTTAACGTCATCGTGGCAAAGAAAATCTATTTAAAAAATTCTCATTAAAATTATTACCAATTACGGATACAATGTATCATAAAAATTTTATAATCTTCCCTTACCCAGGTATAAATTGGTGAACAAATCTTTTACATCAAAGCTATATTGTATTTCTTCTTCAAAAGTATATAGTACCATGAATAAAAATGTTTTCACGTCTGTATCAAGGAACGAAAGTGGTAAATTTGATAGAAATACCAAGTTCCTCTTCACCTTATCAATATCCACAGTATCCAAAGACTTGAAATTTTGCTTAGAAAATTCTTTCATTGCTTTTTTTAAAACATTTTTTAGATTAGTGGAATCGCCCAGTGATTGCAATACACTGATAAAATCAATCTTTTCCGTGACAGTTTTTGAAGTAGACAAATCCACATCTTCAACAAGATTTATAGTGACTTGAAGAATTAAGGCAGTGGCGAACTTTTTTGTTAATCTGGAAGAATTTTTTTTTAAATGTAAAGTCCAGTGGAGTAATTTCTCCTGTGAATTGCATGCCTCATGAACAAGATGTAGAGTTAGTTCCAGCATTTGTTTTTCATCAAATGATTCAACGATTTCAAAGTGATTTTCCAAAATCAATGACCAAAGTTGTTGTATCATTTTATCTTTGATTGACTCCTGATTGTCTTTATTATAAATCACCATTTCAAAAAATAACAGTTGATTCTAAATTTAAAAAAAATCAAGATTATATTTTATATATTATAAATGTAAATGGTTAAATTATCTTTATTACTATGTAAATTTATAACGCTTACCAATGCCACTTTGCAATCCTGGTTTTTAGATTTTTTAATGATTTGCTGTAGTTCATTGATATTAGCTTCTTGGATGGGAAAAGCTATAGTACCAAAGACATCGTGAGGCAAATAATTGTGTAACAAATCATAAACCTCACACCATGTCTTGATCATGTCTGAAAAAGGTACAAACACTTCTTTGTCAATGTTAGTTTCTATTTCACACAGTTTCTCACCAAACAGGGCAAGAGAATTTCTCAAATCAGAAAAAGTGTTGTAAAATTTAATTTGCCAATCACGTGGCAACGAGCTATCCAAGAAATTGGAGGACTCGAAGAAAGTAATAAACAATTGAGCAACAACTTTTATCATCAAGTACTTTTGAGCTGAAAAAGAAAAACATCTATTAGAATTCATTTGATTATATTTCGAATGGATTCAAATAACATTATTGTAGCTACCCAATAAAGATGAATCGGAAAGATTATCAACACAATCTGATTTAAAATGATAAATTAATGTGAGAAATATAGCCATAATTTGAGCACTAGTGGTTTTACTTTTTAAGTCTTCACTAAACTCAACTATGAAACTTGTAGGCAACACGAATTTATTTATTAACTGTAATTCTTCCATATCTTGAACCGTATTACTATTAATAGTCAATAAGAATTTCGAAATGAATTTGTGATGCCTTCTTAAGCGCACGCTAGATTTCCATAATTCCTTTATCAAAACTTTTCGCGCGATCTCTTCATTTTCACTTTTCTTTTTTGCAAATAATATTTTTTCCATTATGTTCTGTGTAAGATCTTCAACAATCACAGGGTTGAGTTTTGCCACAATGGTTAATAACTCGTAGTCAAAGCACTTGAGATTTTTTTTCTTAGCAAGAACTTGTTCAATCTGATTTATTAAGAAAGCTCTCAATGAAACTCCATCGATTTCATTATCAAAATTAAAGGACACATCGATTGAATTTTCAATTAATACAGTGAGAATTTGTTTGGACTGATCTTTTTGCGTGGTGCAGTTTACCAATTTACGTAGTACAGCGTCGATGAGAGAAGAATTCTGATGAAAAATATTAACCACAGATTGAAACAAATAAGTAAATGCAATTTTGATATCTGAAATATTCATTGAGCTAAGTTTACTTTTTAAAGTATCAAAAATAATCTCAAGTTCCAAAATCTTGATGTTTGCTTCATTAGAAGATGTGATATTTTTCAAAGAGCCAAGTAACAATCGTTTAATACACTTTTGAGTCTCCAAAGTTATTTTTGAAGACAATTTTTTTTCTTTCATAATATGCGTAAGCAATGAAACAGGAAATAATAGTTTTTCTGTGAAAATAATCATAAAGCTTTTTTTTTCTGAAAAACTTTGCCTGCAACTTTGAGAAAACGTGCTTACAGCACACTCTGCACACTCCAAAATAACATTAGTTCCAACAAATCTGTCCTCATCGTTAGCTTTTAATGTTCTACCTGCAAACTCAAGTGAGGCTTCTATCAAAGATAAAACTAAATCTTCTCTCGAATAACTCTGTGTAACTGAACTTGAAAAAATACAACTACAGCACTTTAACATCTCCTCCGACACTTGACTGTCAGGATAGCTTTTTAGATTACCAATTAATTTTTCAATCAGCAAAGTTTTGGTAGTCAGAGCTAGTCTAGAAAAATTTTTTGGATCCAAGGATAAACAACGATGGATTGTCATCCAAACTTCAGTGTCGTTTATCTCGGACGACAGTTCGTTGCACAACCAGCGAAATACGCAGTCCTCTTTCCGAACAATCAGCGTGTCTGGGCTGCACAAAACATTTTCAGCAAGTTTCAAACGTTTGGCGAGAGGCTCGTCATTAATATCACTGCCTTCCAAACGTCGTATTAATCCTGCGTTAATTAAATAATTTTGAAATTTAAAACTCAACGTATTGAACATGAAAATGTTAATATAAATTTATTACTTACGTGTTGACACAGCCATCGTACTTGAAATTATGTATTTATTACCCCCTTATTTATCGGCTTTTTTAACAATCTCCATACTACAAATTAATCAAATAACAATAAACGCTATAACCTCACTAACAAACATGCTCAAGTATCAAAACTAATCAACTTTAATATCACACACGTGTGTGGCAGAGTGCAAGCGCCATCTAGCGTTGTGATTTTCGGAAACTATTTGTCTAGGGGAATTCATTTTTTGAAAAAACCCTAGATTTTATTGATGTATATATATGTTCACCCTAGGGTTTTCCGCCAGAAGGAAATTACTATAATACAGAGATCGCACTGTCGGTATTGACGCTGAAATACGGGCCCTGCCATACCGACGCGCATCTTACCCATTAAAGGTATCTTCCATGCACGTTGTCGGCCGTCGGTACTTTATTTATACTTATTCTCTTAATCCAACGCTAGATGGCGCTGCGTGTTTTTATAGTGATTTATTATTTCTGGTGGAAACCTCTAGGGTGAACATATATACATCAATAAAATCTAGGGTTTTTTTCAAAAAACGAATTCCCCTAGACAAATAGTTTCCGAAAATCACAACGCTAGATGGCGCTGACAACAAGAAACTAGAGATTTTTTCTCTTTTAAACATTTAAACATGCTGAGCTGCGAGGCGGGCGAATTTAAAACCCAAGTCAGCTTTAGTTCTTAACGCGAATTTGTGCGGGAGCAGGTGTGGCGATTTATCGCCAAAATGGCGATTTTTTCATTTTTGCTAGCGATTCAATGCATATGATTGGCGAGTGAAGAGTTTTTAATTTTATTTTATGGCAAATTTTTAAGCATAGTATTCATTAGCTGAATAAACTGCCTCTTGCAAAATTTGCCAAACTTTTTCTTTACACTGAAGATGCGGGTATTAAGAAAAGTTCCATCGATTGTTATTACTGGCTGAAACATAATTCCACAGCTTTTTACGTATAGACCGTGGTATTATTGATTGGAAAAGCTGTCATTTCTTTCTCTCTGGAGACTCCACAGATTATATTCAGTTCACTCGCTGAGCTGCATATCCGAGACAGACAAGGTCCCTCCCTGTTACAAGGAAAGGAGTCAAAGAAGGGGGAGCAGTGGTGGACCGCATTACCCCCGCACAAGAGCGCACTGAATTGTGTGTGCATATACATATATTGGTGTGTCTGTTTTCCTTCTCTTCCTTACCCCACCCACGGAACTCTCTCTTTTTTTTCAATTGCAGTGGCAGTATTGGTATGTGTGTGAGTGTATACGCAGACGGCACTGACGGCAGCGACCAGTTTGGGATTTGGAGTTTTGGAGCTATGTACTATACGTGAAAAGAATAGTAAGGGAGTAAGGAACCGTCGTGTGGACTGAGTGGATGTGATGTGATTGGGGTGTTAATACAGTATAAGTAGATACATATTTTATACCTACGCGTAATGGTGAAGCCTGTTGACTGAGTTTTCTTACGTGCGACGCCGAAAAGAGGAAGAAGAACGAACGAACGAACAATCATCGAGCATGCTGCAGCAGTGAAGAAGTGATGTGAAGAAGAAACAAACAGTCCTGGGATCAGGGACTCGCGGGAGGTCTACATACCTATACAATAGTCCCGAGTCCCGAGGACTAATTATAATTGTGTTCGAGAATAACGACCCGGACACGGACGTCCACGAGAAAGAGAGGAGGAAGTGGTGGTTCTCGCGAGTATGCCCCGCTAGCTGCTGCTATTGCAGCAAGTGGAGAGTTAGGAGAGACCAGCGGTGGCGGCATAACTCCCGCAGCACACCATCAGGCAGTATTAGGCGGCGGCTGTCTGCCAACAGCAGCAGCAAAAGTGTAGTACACTATTCGTATATAGCAGAGCAGCGGGCCCAATAAAACACTCATAGGTATATAGGTACCCACGCTGAGCGTACATTATACATACATACATACACATACCGTATGTGTATACGCATCTACTCGCATCAATCGTATGTTGTATACATCCCAACAGCAATAATAATATTTTTTCGGTACGTCCGTACGTGTGGGTATAATATAACGTACGAATGCATCTATCGTCCTCGAAAAAGACGAGCTGGAGCAACGGACGGAAGAGCGTTGTTGTTGTTATCAAGGCATTAGCCCTCCTTTCTATCCTCTTTTAATGGATCATCAACTACGTCACTGCCCTGGCCAAAGTGCGCCTGTGTCCGAGGTGATGGTGGTGATGATGATGATGGCGACGGCGACAACGACGACGATGACGATGACGGTGATATTATGATGATGATGATGCATGGAACTTTTGATATACTTATACTCTTAGACGAAGCTGATTAAAAGAAAGAGACTAACAAGAGAGAGCGAGAGACTGAATTCTTTTTTTTTATACTTCAATAATCCAAGACGAGCGTGCTCAAGTGCCTTTAGGACTTTCTCAGTTTTTTCTATACATTAGTGTGCAAGTGTTTACATATTCGTGTGTTCTGTTTCTACTTCAAGCTAGCTAGGATGTTTTGCGTTGAAACCTGTAAGGATACACCTGGACAAGATGTGGTTTGCAGATAACTGGAAATGATAGTTTTTAAAGGTAAATGAGTATAATTATTACAAATTTGATAAGATGGATAAATACTGTCGTGAGCTTTGTCGTTCTGGCATAGACATTGTTATGGCTTGGCTGGATGTATAATGGAGGTCTAAATGTGTCTCTTGTATTGTCACATGCATTGTTTAGCTGATATATGTCCACAGATGCATAGAAAGTTAAATTTTGGCCGTTGATAATAATAAGCTTAACCAAGTCTTTGTTACACTTTGATTTTCACGATTAGTCTATATTTAGCAGTCTCCTTTATTCTGTTAAATGTTCATAGTTATTATGTTTCACAAGTTTTAAATGTGTCACAGTAGGTAATTTTAAAGGCCACTAAATTTTGTGCATGTATTATTTTCAAGTTGGTTGTCCAAGCAGACGGTGTTAGGAGCATTACAATTTTATTTGGCTTTCAATAGCCTTTAGAAGGGATGAATGGAACAACAGGCCTGCGTCACAGTGTTGGTGGCAGTGGGATTGGTGAAGCAGTTCCTGTTGCCACAGTGGTTGTCTATAAAGACCAGATGGGATATGGGATGAAAGTTTCAGGAGACAAACCAGTTTATGTTCAGTCTGTCAAAGAAGGTAATATTTTATTTTATGGAACAAAATATTACATTCACACATCCATACAAGGTTTACGATGAAAGCAATTTTTTTTAATGGATTTACAAATGAAATAAATACACTGCTTCCAATAAAATATTTAGCTCCGTGTTGTTTCTTGATGATTGAATTCCAACAAACTGTTGTCCACATAAGTTTTTTTTTTTTTTTTTTTCTGATGCAACCATTCACAAAGTTATTTCGATTTATTTAGGTGGTGCAGCAGAAAGAGCCGGCCTTCATGCAGGTGACAAAATAATCAAGGTAAATTCAATTCAGCACATTTTAGTTGACATTATATAAGGCCTAAAGAATCAAACTTGAGTCATTGTTAATCACTTGCATATGTATGTAGTTCTTGGATGTTTGTGTACACTATATAGATGCTGGTTGTTAATCGGTGCCAAACGTGTTTGAGTGTTAATTATTTTAGAAATGTTCTGTATGCATAAGTGTAAGATTTGATTGCGAATTTCATAAAAAAAAAAAAAAATGTTACAAAAATAAAGACAGTATTTTAAGGATAGTAGGAAGTTTATGGTGATACAACAACAATTTTATTCCAAAAAAATATGATTCACGAATTTAAACGTATACTTGTATACTCAAATTTCAATTGCTGTAAATGTGTGCAATGATTTATATCTGAAGCATTGCACCACTTTTTTTTACTGTTCTCTATGGATTTCTTTTTGATATTTGACAATTTTCAAGTGTTTGTATACTTTGTCAACTTTATGCTGAAAAATTCTCATGTTACAGATATTTATATCTTTTTAAAAAAACTTTACTGAGTAAAAAAAATTAGTTTATAGAAAAAAGTAAACGTTATGAAAATACTACTGGTAAGTTAGATTTTGAACAAACTATTAACCGGTTGATAAACAAATCGATCTATCATAAGCAAAAAAACTTCTTATAATTACTTCATATTACACGTATTACCTACCAAATAAAAGGAAGCCCAAGGCATATCTTTACGATTTGTAGAGCTAAACCACTATTGAACTCGCTTGATCGCTTGATATTAAACAATCATCTATATTCGATTAAAAAAAAAAAAATTATAGCTTGCGAGTTGACGAAACATCATCACTGTAGCTGAAACTATAGGCTGCAAATTTAGAAAAAAAGAAAAGTTTTCCGTCCCGAGTCTAACATTCTTTCAAAAATATGAATTCAAAATTGTAGTCCACAAAAAATTCTTGAAGCAATTCAACAAACAAAATACAATTAATTCCCTAAACTCGCAATTTTCATGCATATTGATTAAAACATCGCGATAGTACAATAATAAAATGGTCGTATTGGACAATAAAAAGAAAGACTTTCCAAAATTCAAGAAGTTTTTGTTCACAAATGTCCGAAATATCGTTTGACTAGTCGTTTCTTAAAACATTTAAGACAGAGCTCGAGCTGACGAGACACGAATCAACAAATAAAAAAATTAAATGATGTTCAATTAGGTCTTTCCATATTTCGTATACACTGTCGTATTCGTTTTTTTTTTATTTTTGCCCCCTCCAACCCGGCTAGAGTACCAAGAAAGCTATTGTATATATATATATATAGGAGCGATGATTCGTTTGTTGACGCACGTCATAACATCATACCAACGCCTGAAATCAGTCGAATAAGTTAGCGCGATATGAAATTTTATCGTGTCTGTTTCAATGAAATAATTTATTATACATTAAACAATTGAAGCCATGATGAATAAAACCAAGGTCTTTTTATTTAAAAATAGACGAAACATTTTTGTGATTCATAACAAAAACAATTTTCTGTTTTGTTTTACAGGTAGACGGAGTTAATGTAATGCAATCAACACACACCGAAGTTGTGGAGCTCATCAAAGGTAACTAGAGCATCTAACATTTTACCATATAGTGCACAATTTTTTCGGGTTTATTGTTCTGTATAGTTACCGTGATGATTGTTCGTTTGGTTTATTGTGATTATCTATCTATTTTAAATGGTACAAATATGACAGTGAAATTCTCGCAACTAGACAATTAAGCTTTGAAAGTCATATTTCTGTCAATATAAATAAAAAAGGATTTACTTTAGATAAAACTTTAATAAACGTGTTGAACTGAGCGCGTGTGTACAGTGTATACTAGCTTACTTATACAAAAACACATGTTTTATGCACTCGAGTGCTTGAGGCATGAAATGATGTAAGCACAGTGTTTATAGCACTGACACCTTCCTAGTACACGTATATCTATACGTGATACATTGTGCCGCTTTTTCGTTAGGTAGCGTCGTTGAACAGATTAACTGACCACGTTTCTTTCTGACTCGAATATATTTATGTCGAACCTTGTTAAATAATAATTATAAATAACATTCCCAAATTGGATTAGGCGATTAAAAATGTGGAATTTTAACTGTCATAAAAATTAATTTTAATGACAAACTAATTTTTTTTTTATTTTATTTTATTTTTTTTTTTTTTTTTTTTATTTCAGCATCAACACAAGTAGTATTAACAGTGCAACAACAATCGCATCCGACAATGGCAACGGGACTGTCGTCTTCCCACCATCACCGTCCAACGAGCTTATCGACGAGCTCCGTGCTGGTTTCCCCAGTTCAGGGAACGTCGCTTCACCGAGCCTCAACCGCTCCGGCGTCCTGTACGGAAAGAATCACCGGACCGCAGCCAGTCGACGTAAGATAACATATTTTTATCATCACACGTTTCCGCGATAACATTGTAAATCGATCGAATCATTCAATTAACGAATCGATTCAATTAGAACGAAAAAATGCGTCAGCTGGAGACTCAACGTATTTTCACATTGCAATTGATGTTGGAAAATGAGCAGAGTCACGTTGACAAGTTGCGCAGCGAACTGGCTAAGCAGACGGCTGCTGGCAACGCTAATAGCATTGTCTCGCTGCAGACCGAGCTCGGCAACGCGGAGCGCCGGTGTAACAAGTTGCAAGAGCAACTTGATCAAGTATGAACATCAATTTATGCTTTCTCATTACCCGAGTTTGTGTTAGAGTGTGGTTACAATCTTTTTTATGTAAATATCTATCTGTAAAGACATGTTTGCAGTGATTTTTTTTTTTTCGTGTCCATACATTTACACATATTTTTATTGAAACTGAGCTTATGTCTTATATGAAAAGTGTTTTTCTTGCATCCTTTGGATTTATTCATTCATTTATTTTTGTTCTTTCACTACCAATTTCAATATGAATGGTTAGCCTGCTGATATACATGATTAAATGCAATTATATACAGTACACTCTCCCGTTAAATCTTCATGAAGAATTACCCTATTATTGCTGCTCTTTATTGTTTGGGTACACATACTTTTACGTTTAATGTAACCAGTCACTGTTTAATGCATCCACGTTTGTACTTTAACAAAATTTTAACCATGGAGAGCCCATTGCAATATTTTCAAGAAAATCACAACCAAAGTCTAATGAGAGTTTTTACATTGATAATTCAACTACAATTGATCTGGAAAGATACCTTGAAAACAATTCGGATTTCCCATTTGCGATAATGGCTAAGCCATCATCTAGTCAAAAAAAAA